ATCATATCAGACTGTGCAATCTCTCCATGAGTTGGTTTTGAAACCCAGTAAGGGATTCTGAGATACTTTACCAAGGATATTATTACAAGATAAATCATTTGCTTCATTGAACACATACAACAATGCATATTTCCACTGAGATCAGTGACCTTTGATGTGTATCACCAGTGATCAGTCAAGTAGAAACAGTCAAAATATTTTATCAGTTTTTCTCAATTTTTTTGTATGATATTTTCATACAGGACATCTGTTGTTCAAACTCAGGGAAGATTTTATACTGATGAACAAGGTGACCAAGTTTGATGAAGTTTGGAATAGAATTAGTAAAGTTATCATGCACACAATAACAATTATTAACGACGACAACGCAGGACAAAATTTTTCCCTTAATATACCTTTCCCTTCCATCTTTGATGGTACGGGCAAGGTAAAAAAATGACTGCCACCAGGGTTTGACCGGACACCACACAAAGAAGTTCGCTGATTCTGTTCTAAACTTTTTGGATTTCAGTATTAACATAATGTATCCTTGGAAGGCAAAGATGTATAATAATAAGGTTATTACGAGGATACCTCAAAGTATGCACTCAGTGAGTACAACACGCATCGACCTCTGCTGCATGTTGGTCAATACTCCCGCTGTACTGTCTTTGTGCATACTTTGAGGTACTCTCGTAATAACCTCATATTATTATACACATATTCATCACATAACACAGAGTAAGCTTGATTGGGTAAACAGAAATCAGCATGATTATCACTATATTCAATAACTTGAAATGAAAATACTAATACTAATAATTTGAGAATAAATAAGAATACTTGTCAGTCAAGATGAACACTAAAATGTACTTCGACAAACTTAGTAAAAAATATTTGAAATCAGAAATAATAATAACTGACATTTTACTAGTATTATACATTATTATTAACCAATGGAAACTATTTCTAAAGATGCAATAAATTCATTATTATTAATATTATCCAACATTACTACGTTTGACCCCCCCCCCCAAAAAAAAAAAAAAAATGCGGAATCATGACTACAAGGGGATTTAATTTGTTTTGACCGTGACACAGTTTCCTGTTTGGTTTACTGCAACATAAGATCTACCATATTTCAAATTACATGAACTAGACACAATCGTGAATGTTGTACCATCCAATGTGTTATGTAAAACCTACACACAGTCTCAAGATAAATGTATACCGGTCGGACGGTCGTTTTATTCAATGAAAAGTTAATGAGATATTTACCTTTTGGTTCATCACAAGAATTACAAATTTTTAAGTTAAATTAAACACATGCCAAAACTGAACTTGTCTGAGAACCTAACTGGTTAATAAAATTCCCCCTGATAACCTTTTCTATGATCAAAGGACGGTAAAAAGGATTAAAAATATAGCAATGTTAATGAGCAATAAATATATAAAACCCACTTTATGTCAAACACTCCAAAACTTACTGTTAATGTCAGTTAAAGGGCAAGACTAAGCAAACAACCTTCCAGACTAAAAACCTCCATAAATGTAGCGATTTGCAATTTGTTTTTTTACTACTGTAGATACCAGTATTCAATTTTTTCATCAGTATTATGTAGTCAATAACCTTGATATTCCAGCAGAGCATTGTGGGTAAAGTATGACATCATATGACTTCAAATGATTCTAAATCAAGAATTAATATGATATGGATATGCATTTTTAATATCAATGATATGTGATATGCAGTGCATGTATCAATCGAACAAGTGTTGAACTTTGAACTTTCGAAAAGTTAAAAAACAAAAGAGCATGAATATATTTACCTGAAGACAACATGGTTTTACAAATTGGGGAATATTTATATAAAATGTTTTTTTTGGGAAACAGTGAGCTAACTTCTTACTATTTGTTTGTACTGTCATTTTAAACTATTTTATATGTTACAGAGGGTGCGCAAACAAGATTCCTACCCAAGGAAAGTCCCTTTAAACATTGCAATATGGCGAGACATTCTTCCTGGCACTATCAAATGATTTAATGTTATGAAAATGATTTGCGACACTTGTGACAATCTCACTTCCCCGGGCGCTACTTGATTTTGGACTAATTGTTGTCTGTCTTCATATACCAAAGAAGTTGTAAATTATACATATGAATGTTATTTGTTGTTGCTTCAAGTTGATATAAGCTGATGGGGTTATTGTAACACTGATAAAGACTTTCTCAGGATATTTTAAAGTTACCCCTATAAATTTATTTGCACCTGCTGTAACACTTTATTGCAGTACACTGATATTCTAGTACCCATACATAAATCAGGATCTAAGTGCTCCCCGTCAAATTACAGAGGAATAGCTATCTCTAGCTGTCTGGGAAAATTATTCTTTCTTAGAACAAAAAAACATTCTTTCAAATAACCAATTTGGATTCAGGCGTGAATGTAGGACAACAGACAACATTTTCATCTTAAAAACGCTTATCAACAAATATATTTACCATAACAATAAAAAGGGCAATAAATTGTATGCCTGCTTTATTGATCTTCGAAAGGCCTTTGATAGTGTTTGGCATAATGGCCTTCTTCTTAAACTTCTTAATAACGGTATTACTGGCCACATGTATAAAATTATTAAAAACATGTATAGTAAAATTAAGTATAAAGTTAAATGAACACTAAACTGTTCTTTGACAAACTTACTTATACAAAATATTTGAAATCAGAAATAATAATAACTGACATTTTACTAGTATTATATGTATTGTACTTTATTATTAACATTGTATTGCTGTTAACCAATGGTAAAAATGCAATAAATTCATTATTATTATTATTATCAAAAATTACATTATCCAAAATAAGCCTGCAGAGAAAAAATTCATGGAATTGTTGCAGAATAAAAACATTATTATACCAGTAGCACAGTTCATAAGTAAAAGCTTTGAAGTCAGGAAGCAGGGTCTTACTTGACATGTTAATGCCTGCTGTCAATTTAGTAATTTCATATTAGATTCTGTAAAAGAGTTCTGGGTGTGCACAGGAAGGCATCTAATGACCCATGTAGAGGTGAATTAGGTCAATATCCACTTACATGTATATTGGATATTTGTGTTTCAGTTATGAAATATTATCAAAGACTAGTATGTAAAAAAAACCCAATACTATCATTGATGCAGCCTATGAAGAATCCAAAACTCTTGTGCATGACCCATGGCTTAACTTTATACAAAAATTACTAGTCATAACTGATCTAACTAATTCAGACCAACATCAGAATAATTTTTGTGATATTTTTAAAGAGAAGCTCAAATGTTTGTACCGTAAGTGGAAAAACAATTTGTTGAACAATTGTAAGCTTCACTTTTACAGGTGTGCTAAAGAAAATTTTGAATTTGAACATTATTTGGAAAAAATTAAAAATAAAAATCATAGAATAGCTTATACTAAATTTAGAACTTCGGCACATTTTCTTCCCATTGAATCCGGTAGACATAAAGGCATTTTGAAGAAAAACAGGCTATGTAATCTCCATGAATGCAATGAAGTAGGGGATGAGAAACATTACATTTTATATTGTAATAATTGTCAAATCAAAGAACAAAGATCTAGATTCCTTGCAGCTTTATACATCTATGCCCCAAAGCTGGAAGATTTTAGCATGGATGAATTATTTCCTATTATTGTTTCAAGTAATGATTTTTTCATTCTTAGCATTTTTGCAAATTTATTTTCATATTCTTGATATGTTTAGTACTGTAAGTTTTGTGTCTGAATATTTTGTTTTGTTATAGTTATTTTTGG